AATAACAACACTACAAACATAAAAGTATGAATTATAGAGTCCAAACATCCATATATATTTAATTATTTATATATATTTAAAACTTCGGTTAATTAATAATTTCGAATTGAATTAATTGATAATATAAATTTTGTAAATCCTTAAACCATTAATCAAATTGAAATTTTTCAGTTAAAAACGGGTAATCGAAATTCTGTTTCAGATTGAGCATTGTTAAGGAATACGGACTACGTATGCAGTTACATAGAGAAATAGAGAAAATCTCTTTTTTCTGATTGCAAATGCATGCAAAATATGATGTGAAAAATAACAATGGCTTCGCCCGGACTCGAACCGGAGACCTTCAGTGTGTTAGACTGACGTGATAACCAACTACACCACGAAACCTTTTGTCTAACAATGCTTTTAATATGTTATTAATCTGTAGTTTCTGAAAATCACATTAGTCATTTAGTCAACTATAGATTTTATACAGAGTAAATTTTACATTATAAATTCCACAACTACTATGGCATATGGCATTGTTAATTTGTTATTTCATCACGTTTAATTTCACAACCTTATTGTGTTGTCACATTTTGTCATTTATTACAACTTTTTATTAAAGGTTCATTGAGAAACACGGAAAATATTTTTATGATAAATAATTTTTTAAAAATAATTCATTTTATGGTATTTAACTAAAAGTCATAAAATAATTTTTTTTTATTTGGCTAAAAATCATAAAATTATTATTATTTATTTGATTCATTTTAAAAAATAAAACATCAAACTATTACTAATTTATTTCAATTCTTAAAATATTATTTATTTTAATGATGATAATAATTCTTATTTATATTTAAAATATAAAATTATAAATTAAAATTTATAATGTTTGTAAAGATTAATAATAATTATAATAAAAAGATATAAATAAATAAATATAAAATTTAAAATTATTATAATAAAATAAATGCATAAAGTTTTGAGTTAAGGAATTCATTAGAGATCATTAGGAAGCAAGCTTGAACCCAAGCTTGTATTATAATCTCTTAACTTAATCTTTCTTAAATTAAAAGTGTTTCTACCTATAAAGCTTAGAGAGAGAAAGAAAAATGAAAAATGAAAAATGATCTAAAAATAATTGTCAATGTGTATTATATAGCTGGAGTCGCAGCGAAACAGATCAAAAATTAAACTGTCAAGGGCTTGATTACGATCGGCGTCACATCATGATGCTGGTTGTGATAACTGTATTTTGCACATCAATTCTGATTTCTAAGCTACTTTTAACTTTGTATACGTTCAAATTAGATTTGCGATTTACATGAAAGTTGTATATCTTTGAATTAGCTTTCCAATTATGTTAGAATCACTTTATTTTGGATATTCTTTGAAATGCTTGTATGATTTAGGGGTATAGACAAGCATTAAAACAATACGATCCTCATATTCAATTGTGACATCAATATTCTCCAAATTCAATAAAATAGAATTGAATTCATCTAAGAGCATCTCCAACGTGTAGGAAAAACGACAATTTCTAACGCCAAATCACCATCGCAGCAATTTTGATAGCTCCATCGCGGCAAATCGCCAAATAATTTGGCGTTGATGAACAATGTCGCGCCATATATGGCGTGGCACTGTTCATCCATGACAAATTAGAGATGGAGATAAAATTTACCATTTTTCCCTTGTTTTTTTTTTTTTTTTTTTTAATTTCAAATGTATCTTTTATTTTTTTTTATATGTAATTTTTTATTTTGTTAAATATTTGTATTTAAAATTTGTATTATTAAATATAAATTATACAATTTTAAAGATCTCATTGAGACGATCGAAACAAGACTAATATTCAATATATTAATTAAAATTTTAAATACAGTAAACATTATTAGAACATAATAAAAATTAAAATACATACGAAATAATATTGATATTATTTAAAAAAAAATAAAATTAATAATTTCATAGTCCATTCCTATTTCTTTTTAAATTATCAAAATATTTATTATTGTGGAATAAACTAAATTTTATATTGTTAAATTCAGTTTTTTTTTAAATAATTAATGTTATTAAAAAAATTAATGTATTGATTGAGCATTTGTGGAAACGATATAATAATTTTGATAATTAAATGTACTAGATGTTTTGTAATATATTATTAACAATATAATAATTCCGATAATTAAATGTACTAGATGTTTTATGATATATTATTAACGATATAGTAATTCTGATAATTAAATATACTAGATGTTTTATGATATATTATTATTGTGGAATAAACTAAATTTTAAAAGATATTGTTAAATTTAATTTGATTTTTTAAATAATTAATGTTATGAAAAATTTAATGTTAATAAAAATTATTATTTACATCAGAAGTTATATTTTATATTAAAGTAATTAAGTTCGAACTAAATTATATTAAACTAATCAAATTCAAATTAATAATTGAAAAATCAAATTATTTTAGTGTAGAAATTTGGTGTTTTGACATAAATGGGTTGGAGATGAATAAAATTGGTGTGAGAATATTCTTTTTTTATGTGACATTTAGTGAGAAATTTTGGTGTTTTGGTGTTGAGTGGGTAGGAGATGCTCTAAGTGAGGCTTAATAGAGGTACCTTCCGTCATATGAATTGTGTACAACCGCTCCTTCAGGCGCAACTTGTTTGCTAGATATTTGGTCATATAAAGCGATTCTGGCTTGGACCATAATTTTGACGTAGTTATCTCACTTACCACCTCAAGTAAAACATTGTTAGACAAGCATAACTGAATGGTTGGCAATGCTTTGTCATCCAAATCATCCCACTACTCATCTGTTATCAGTGGTTTCTTCTTCTTTTATTTATTTATTTATTATTATTATTATTATTTTATAACTAGTGCATTCTTTTAAACCATTATGGGTTAAGAATTAGGATGTCTTTCATCTAGACATTTTAGATAGAAAAACTAATTATCTTATCAAACTTTTTAATATCGAACTTGTTGAAAGTCGATATTGTGAACAAAGAAAATTGAATAATATTTAGAAATTCAAAGTTCTGGTTTACATATCAAATATTAATGCGGGGTGGGTACAAGTCTCTGAATGGTCCTCTGATTCTTCGATTTGAATGCCTTGAACACTCCACCATTGAAGGGCCTCCGGGTTTCAAGTGGCTTGATCTTCAAAGAAGGGCTTGTATAGCTTGTTCTTCTTGAAGGGCCTCCGGGTTCAAATGGCTTGATCTTCAATGGAGGTTTGGATCAATAGGCATAGGCATGATCATTTTGGTGGAGGAACTTCTACTTTCAGTATCACATTTTTATGTGATCCTGAATAATATTTTTCTAGATGTTTACATCACTTTTCCTAGGATGTGTGTGATTACATAGAAATAAAATGCCCTATTTATAGCTGTAGGATAGAGAGTTTTGATAAGCTCAAACTCTTTTGATATTATCTAATTAACAAATTAGATAATATCAATATTATCCAAAATATTTCAAATATATTCAAATATACTAATATTGATAAATAATCAATATTTATCAAAATTTAAGTGTCTACAAATGCCCCCTCGAGACTTACTTGTACACCACTTGATAGCATATAACACTCGAAAATATGTAGTGCAAGAAAGTCTCGACACTACAACTTAAAGATATAAGGCCGCTTCAACTCATGCCAATGAGCCTTGAAAGATATGAGGCCGTTTAAACTCGTGCCAAGGAGTCTGAATATAAGGCCGTTTAAACTCGTGCCAAGGAGTATCATTTAGCTTCCTCCGTTTCAAATTTCATACAGGGTTTGCCCCCATATCGGTTGAAAGTGCCTATGAAGAGATGAGAGGCGGAGCTGTCCCACTGGGCGTGCCAATTTGTGAACAAAGAAAATTGAATAATATTTAGAAATTCAAAGTTCTGGTTTACATATCAAATATTAATGCGGGGTGGGTACAAGTCTCTGAATGGTCCTCTGATTCTTCGATTTGAATGCCTTGAACACTCCACCATTGAAGGGCCTCCGGGTTTCAAGTGGCTTGATCTTCAAAGAAGGGCTTGTATAGCTTGTTCTTCTTGAAGGGCCTCCGGGTTCAAATGGTTTGATCTTCAATGGAGGTTTGGATCAATAGGCATAGGCATGATCATTTTGGTGGAGGAACTTCTACTTTCAGTATCACATTTTTATGTGATCCTGAATAATATTTTTCTAGATGTTTACATCACTTTTCCTAGGATGTGTGTGATTACATAGAAATAAAATGCCCTATTTATAGCGGTAGGATAGAGAGTTTTGATAAGCTCAAACTCTTTTGATATTATCTAATTAACAAATTAGATAATATCAATATTATCCAAAATATTTCAAATATATTCAAATATACTAATATTGATAAATAATCAATATTTATCAAAATTTAAGTGTCTACAGATATATTTAAAAATAATTTTCAATTGAAATCCAGCTGATACCACTTGGTATGAATATAATGAAATAAAGCGAAGTTATATGGAAGTAAATAATTGAACAATTGAGAATTATGTAAAAAGAAGTTAAATAATATGGAAGAATAAGTACTCAAAAAAAAATGGAAGAATATACAAATGATAAATTAAGAAATTGTTAAATTGGGAGGATATTACAAGATGAGGTAAATAATGTAAAGATATAATGATGATTAAAATGTCTATTTTTTTAAATACTCATAGTATATGTTCTAAAATTTCTCAAACATTTTTAGCCCAAAAATTTAAGTTCTCACCACCGAATTTAAACTTGTAATCATTCATTTAGAATAGTAATTGGAATACTAATTTATACCTAAAAGAAAGGAATGAAATTAGATGGAGAACAGAGAGTTTTTTTTTTTTTTTTTTTTTTTTTTTTAAGGAAAAAAAAAAAAAAAAAAAAAGAGAGAAAAGAAACGAAGTGACAGCTTCAGGTGAGGGGTGGAGACTGGAGATCATGCAACTTAACCAGCCAAGTGTAAAGGCAAGGATTTTGAGCCACAAATATTACTTCTCAACATAGTATTATCTTGAATTTGGAGCTTAATCACCCCGATTAGTTAAGGCCATGTCGCTGTTAATCTGTTTATGAACATTCGAGAATGCGTGTGCCTTTTTTGAATATGGAGAGTACGACAACGAGCCACGTAGCGGAATAACCGAGGATCCGCGAGAGTATTTCTTCACTCTTCAGTCATCTCCTCGTAGAAATACTCTTTTTCTCTCTCAGCATTGCTACCTAAGAGGCAGGGAACAATGGCGGAAGTGAGCAACAAGCAGGTGATTTTGAAAGGCTACGTGACCGGCTTTCCGAAGGAGTCGGACATGGAAATCCGAACAACCACCGTGAAACTGGAGGTTCCGGTGGGTTCCAACGCCGTGCTCCTGAAGAATCTCTATCTCTCCTGCGATCCCTACATGCGAAGTCGCATGAAGAAAACGGAGGGCAGCTATGCTCAGTCCTTCACTCCTGGCTCTGTAAGTACAAATTTTCATAATTATTCGTGTATTAGCTGAGCATTATATGCGTAATTTGAAGTGTTAGTCTATTAGTTGTTTGATTGGTTGGAGCATCCTTGATTGGTTGAATGTTTTCGGAGCTTTGCCAAAATATTTAGGGAAAACTTTCGTACAGATTAAAATAATGGCTATAGTATAATTGAGAAACAAAAAGTGCAAATTTCCAGATATTGTACCTCAATTATATCTACAATCGAGAGATGAATCGAGATGAATAGTGGTTATAGATATAATTGAGGAAAGAAAAGTGCATTTTAAACTAGCTTAGAAATGTATATATCTACTATCTGAGTGTGCACTTATAATAATCTGTATTCTCCTCTCTCTACCTTTAATTAGCTTAAATGTTTTATAATTTTGGTGTAGCCTATTGTGGGGTATGGAGTTGCTAGAGTTTTAGATTCTGGCCATCCCAACTTCAAGAAGGGAGACTTAGTTTGGGGAATAACAGGATGGGAGGAATACAGCATTATTACTGATACTCAGGGGCTTTTCAAAATCCAACATACCGATGTGCCTCTTTCATATTATACTGGAATTCTTGGTAAGTTCCTTGAACTTAATCACTTACACAGACACACTTAGAGTGTGCGTATATCATTTTACATACACTTGGTTAAATTTCATGGTATAATAGCAAGGCAGCAACTGTGGCAATAATAGCCTGATAGGAAATAGCAGATAGAGATGTTCTTAGTGACACAGAGAATTCAAGGGAAAGTAGATTGTGGTTACTTTGATAAGCGGAACCAATGTAGCCAACTCCTAGGTTGGGATTAAGGCTGAATTGGACTGAGTTTGATTATATTGTAGCTTCAACAATGGAGCTTCACATTCCTGCTTGGATGCTGAGCATCGCTGCACTGAGAGTTTGCTTGTGATGTTGCATTAATTGATTCAATCTAGATCAGTATTTAATTGCTTTTCCTAACCCTAGCCATCCCTACCACCACAAAAAATAGTCATAATTAGAATATCTTGATAGCTGTGATAGTTCATCTATTTACTTGAAATTTGTAGGTATGGCTGGTACAACTGCATATGCTGGCTTCTATGAGGTGTGCTCCCCCAAGAAAGGAGAAACTGTCTTCATTTCTGCAGCATCTGGAGCTGTTGGTCAGCTTGTTGGACAATTTGCTAAGCTTTTGGGTTGTCACATTGTTGGTTCTGCTGGTAGCAAAGAGAAGGTCCTTATTGAATTAATCTCTCTTTGCAATTTAGTGATTGAAGTTTGTTGAGTTTTTTTTTCTTCCTTCACTTTTGGTCCTACGGCTATTGGACCATTTCAACATTTGGTTCCCAACTATTAATTTTTCCACGTTTAGTCCCGCAACTTTTAAAACGTTGCCACATTTGGTCCTTTGGCCTAATTTCCAGTCACCGGTGACCAAATTTGTATCTCTCAGTTATTGAACATGAGTGCATAATAGTCATGTGACTTATCTTGAAGGACGAAGTTACCATTTTCTATGACATTTTGTCATTTTTCAACTAAAATATTTGGTCAACGGTGACCGGAAGTTAGGCTGGAGGACCAAATGTGAAAAAATTAATAGTCAGGGACCAAATATTCTAATAGTCATGGGACTAAAAGTGGAAAAAAACTCAAGTTTGTAGGGTTTTTTTTTAATCCCTTGGTATCTCCTCCTGTTGCCTTTTCTCTTTTCTGTATTCTCTATTTCATTTCCTCCTACATCGTCATATCTCTTCTTGACCAATGAAGTCCTTTCAACTTATGAATCACTTCCTCAAAATCTGTGCTCCGTAATGGCTTCATCTTAGATATATATAGGCTTGAGACTGTGGACTCTGCAGCACACATGTAGCTTGGATTTGTTTTATCTATAAAAAAAGATAGGTTAAACCAAGTTTTAGGAAGATCAACTAGTGGAACACATGTAGCAATTCATTTATAATTGTCAATAGTAGTTAACATATTCATCAACTCATGGTGTTTAGAAAAATTCACCTCTGCTCTTTAAGTTTTGCATGGTCATTAGTGAATATTACCTATCATATACAATTTATAATTCATGAAATCAAAGATGAGTGGTGAAATTAGTTTTCTTTCTTTTTAATTTATTCTTTCTTTTTCTTTGTTTGTTAAGGTTGATTTGTTGAAGAACAAATTTGGATTTGATGATGCCTTTAACTACAAAGAGGAGCCGGACTTGAATGCAGCTTTAAAAAGGTTAGTTTGAATCGGTATTCCTTTTTGTTTTTATGAGCTAGGAAATTGCAGTACTTTCTTTCTGGTATAAATGTCCAAGACTAATGAAATTATATTACATTGGTGATGCTTTTAGATGCTAGAGTAGTCTGGGGCGGAGATTGATCCCTAAACCTTTTGTAATAAAAATCACAACCAACCAACTAAGCTGCTTCAACTTTCAATGATTTTTATGTATACTAAAGCATATAATACACACACACACACATATATGTAATGGGGGTAGGGGAGGGGGTGCAATGGCCCCCATTGCCCCCATCTGGATCCGCCCCTGAGAGTAGTGATACTTTCTTATTATTCTCACTTGTGCATTATCTTGACTAGGCATTTCCCCGACGGAATTGATATTTATTTCGAGAATGTTGGGGGAAAGATGCTCGATGCGGTGCTGCTGAACATGAAGCTCCATGGACGCATTGCTGTATGCGGGATGATCTCACAGTACAATCTTGAGAAGCCTGAAGGCGTTCACAACTTATTCTGTCTGATAAGCAAACGGATCCGCATGGAAGGATTTCTGGTTTTAGATTACTACCATCTCTATCCAAAGTATTTGGAAATGGTCGTGCCGTACATAAAGGAAGGGAAGATTACGTATGTGGAAGACGTAACAGAAGGCCTGGAAGGCGCTCCAAGCGCTCTGATAGGACTTTTCTCTGGCCGGAATGTTGGGAAGAAGGTGGTGGTTGTTTCAGCTGAGTAAATGCATTAGAGAATTAGTTGAACTCTTGTGAGTGAATAGTGATTAGTGATTAGTTTCCTGCTCTTAGGAGCTCTTGTTTGTGGTGTAATGACTGATTACCAAAAAATGTACTGACTAAAAGATGTGTTTGCGTATTCTGTAAATGTCAACCGGAGTTGTGCCAAGGGCATCTGCAACTCTTTGCCCATTTTCAAAAGCACGAATTATAGAGTCTGAATAATCAAAGTTTTGCGAAATTCTGTTTCAGATTGAGCATTGTTAAGGAATACGGACTACGTATACAGTTACATAGAGAAAATCTCTTTTTCTGTTCTGCAAATGCATGCTGTGAAAAACAAATATGGCTTCGCCCGGACTCGAACCGGAGACCTTCAGTGTGTTAGACTGACGTGATAACCAACTACACCACGAAACCTCTTGTGTAACAACGCTTTTAAAAACATTATTAATCCTGTAGTTTCTGAAAATTACATTAGGCATCTAGTCAACTATAGATTTTATACAGAGTAAATTTTACATTATAAATTCCACAACTACTATGGCATATAGCATTCTTAATTTTTTATTGAGATAAAGTACAAATAAGCCACTGTACTATTTAGGAAAAAGCAATTAACCCATTGAATTCAAATAACCCTCAAACAAGCCATTGAACCCGGAAAAAAAGAGCAATTATCATTTTTAACATGTTAACTCCAAGTTTTTGCTGATTGGATTGCCAAATATTTATTTTATTTACGTTTTTTTTTATTATTATAATCCACCTACATAGTAATATATTTTTAAGTAATTATAACCAAAGTAGTTTTGTTTTGTCTAGATCTAATTTATTTATTTATTATTATTTTTTAAACAAAAGATCCAGTGAAAAAATAATAATAAATAAATAAATCAAATCTCGACAAAACAAAACTATTTTGATTATAATTACTTTAAAATATAATACTATCTAAGTGGATAATATTAATAAAAATAATAATAATAATAATAATAATAAACGTAAATAAAATAAACATTTGGCAATCCAATCAGCAAAAATCTAGAGTTAACCTGTAAAAAATGTTAATTGTTCTTTTTTTCAGGGTTCAATGGCTTATTTGCTCTTTTTTTTCGGGTTCAATGGCTTATTTGAGGGTTATTTGAGTTCGGTGGCTTAATTGCTGTTTTTCAAATAGTTCAGTGGCTTATTTGTACTTTATCCCTTTTTTATTTCATCACGTTTAATTTCACAACCTTATTGTGTTGTCACATTTTGTCATTTATTACAATTTTTTATTAAAGGTCTATTTAGAAACACGGAAAATGTTTTAATGAAAAATAATTTTTTTAAAAATGATTTATTTTATGGTGTTTAACTGAAAGTCATAAAATAATTTTTCTTCTATTTGGCAAAAAGTCATAAAACTATTATTTTTTTTGATTCTTTTTAAAACATTTTTTTAACACAAAAAGTACATTATTCAAACACATAAAATACATTATTGTAACTCATAAAATACATTATCTTATCCCAAAATATTTATTATTTTAACACGACTACAAAGCAAGAATTTTTCTTTAACAGTAAAACGATGTTGTTTTGGACCGTAGTCCTCACAGTCCATACAATAATTTGCCACAATACAAGGATATTAGATGCAAGAAATTAATAAATCTCTCAATTCCACAGAAGAATAAGGGATATTTCTTTCCTTCTATTCTATATTTACTTACCATGAATGATTATTTTTACCATATTTTGTTTTTGGAAAACATTTTTTTTACCATATTTTGTTTTGAGTACTTACCATATTTATTTTGCATGGGATAATTAACTCCATCAAATATCTTCATCCTGTGTAAGTGCTGACGTTGGCGCAAGGTTTCCATACACTTTGAGTGTATCTATATATATTGCTCTCACTATCATCAGTATATACTACATACATCCAAGTTTGAGTTCCGAGATCCGACAGAAATGGCGGAGGAAGTGAGCAACAAGCAGGTGATATTCAAGAACTACGTAAGCGGATTTCCGAAGGAGTCGGACATGGAAATCCGGACAACCACCGTGAAGCTGGAGCTTCCGCCGGGTTCCACCGCCGTGCTTGTCAAGAATCTCTACCTTTCCTGCGATCCCTACATGCGAACCCGCATGAAGCTCTCCGATGGCGGCTATCTCGGCGTCAATAGCGCCTTCAAACCTGGATCCGTAAGCCGCTAGCTTTTATAATCTCAAAAATTAATTAACTATAATCACAAGGTTATAAGTTCGACTCCTATCGGGAGCAACTTATTAGTCGAGCTATGGACAATCTGAGCTGTTTTATCATTTTTTGTCGACTAGGATCATAAGGCAGTTCAGAATTTACCCAATGTACATCTTTTGAAAACTGATTGCGAGTTTTCCATGCAAGTCACCCCAAAGATTAAATACTTACCCAGACCCGTCAAAACGGATCGACTTAGCCCACCTCGTTCGGCGAAAAAGACGAAATGGACTTTGATATTTTGGGCTTGTATTTTAGCGGGCTTTTTAGTCCGCCCTGCCATATGACGGGCTTTAGCAAGCCCTGTCCCCCTTACTAGTCCGTTTCAGCAGGGCAAATTATTGTGTGGATCATAGTCCACAGAGTGTTATGTGGAGCATAACAAAAAGTACATTTTTAATATACTAAATATACATTATTTTTTACTGAATGTACATTATACACTATAATGTACACTTAGGATAAAAATAATGTATATTTTCTGAATATAATGTACATTATTTTTGTATTGAATGTATATTATTTTTATACTGAGCGTACATTATTTTACAATAGAGCAAATTACACTTTTGATCCTGTGACTATAGAGGGTGTGTTAATTTGGGTACGTAACTTTTAAAATTAACAATTTAGTCCTTTAACTATCATTTTTTAGCAGATTTGGTCCTCCTGGCCAAATTGCCGGTTGAATTTGGCTAGAAAGACGTTCGATTTTTTAAATCAAATATTGGTGGGGTAATTCGGTTCAACAATTAAAAAGACCGAATTACCCTCACCAATATTTGATTTAAAAAGTCGAACGTCTTTCCGGCCAAATTCCACCGGCAATTTGACAAATGATAGTTAAAGGATTAAATTGTTAGTTTTAAAAGTCACGTACCCAAATTAACACACCCTCTATAGTCACAGGACGAAAAGTGTAATTTGCTCTTTTACAATATATAAAATATGATTCACACAATAATGATTCTTTCGGCAGCTCTATACTTACCATCGTATTATCTTTGATAATGTAGCCTGTTGAGGGAACGGGAGTGGCAAGAATATTAGAATCCGGGCATCCGGACTTCAAGAAGGGAGATTTGGTTTGGGGAATCACTGGATGGGAAGAGTATAGTGTCATAACTACCGAAACTCTTTTTAAAATCGAACATACAGATGTGCCTCTTTCATATTACACAGGAATTCTGGGTAAATTCATTTCTCAAAAACTCTTATCATTTTATCATTATTACTACCAAGGAATTGAATTGAATTAAATTATATGTATGTATAGGTATGCCTGGTGCCACAGCCTATTTTGGGTTTAATGAATTGGCGTCCCCAAGAAAAGGAGAATCTGTGTTTGTTTCAGCAGCGTCAGGGGCTGTCGGTCAACTTGTCGGACAATTCGCAAAGCTTCTAGGTTGTCGTGTTGTTGGCTCTGCTGGCACCAAAGAAAAGGTATGTTCTTGCTTCTTGTGTAATTGTGTATCTCTCCTCTTCTAATCTTCCCAGATCCCAAAGGTGTCTCTCTCAGTGTATGTATGTACATATATATACAGTTTTCCATTGCTGGGTATTATTGAAAGAAAAGGGGGTTTGAGTTCTTGTTCCAGTGAAAAGATCGACTGCATCTTTATTGTTGTTTCTTGGTCTCTTTGTTGATGATGATTTTGTTGATGACTAAGAAAAACATATATTCTTTTCGTTGTTGTCTGGTAAGGTTGATTTGTTGAAAAACAAATTTGGGTTCGATGATGCTTTTAACTACAAAGAGGAGCACGATTTGAATGCAACTTTAAAAAGGTTAGTTTTTATTTTATATATATACACACACTGATTAGCTGCAACTTTCATTCTTGTGTTGAACATAAATATAATGCCATTATTCCTCATCATCATTAGGTACTTCCCAGAAGGAATCGATATATACTTTGAGAACGTGGGGGGAAAGATGCTTGACGCAGTGCTTCTGAACATGAATCTCCATGGCCGCATTATGGTATGCGGAATGATTTCACAGTACAACAACACTGGAGGCTCCGAGGGGATTCATAATCTCATGAATCTCATCAGCAAACGCATTCGCATGGAAGGGTTTCTTGTGTCGGATTACTATCATCTCTACCCAAAGTTTCTGGAAACTGTGATTTCTTACATTAGGGAAGGGAAGATTGTTTATGTGGAAGACATTGCAGAAGGTCTTGAGAGTGCTCCCAATGCTCTGGTCAAGATTTTTACTGGTGAGAATGTTGGGAAGCAGTTGGTGGTTGTTTCCCGTGAATGAATGAATAAATATAATGCTTGTTAGTTTGAGTTGCTCTTCAGATCAGAGGGTTGGAGATAATAAGAGACAATTAAATTTGTTCTTTCTATTCTATAGTTTGGTTGTTTGATTGTTGAACTTTTATTTTTAAGTTTAATGATGATTATTATGATGAAGAGCATTTCTTATAATTTGAAAAATTGGCATAAATTAACATGTGAGAAGCTATTTTAAGGCATTATTTTGAGTTGAATCTACTACCAACTTAGATCAAGCCAAAGTAGATTTATGTTTTTCTATGTATGTGAAGAGATGAATTTCATATTTTAAAATCATAGTTTGAGTGTGTTTGAATTTTTAGCATAAAATTGCATTGCATGTAAGTGGTTATTCTGTGATATAAATATATGTGGGATTCACTTCTGATTTAGATCGAGTCGAAGGAGATTATCACTCTTTGTAGTGAGACAAAGAAATCGATATATATTACACTAAAAATGAATAATGGTGAATGAGAAATTGATTCTCATAGATTCAATTGAGTTGAAAAATGCAAGTGGAAAGGCACTTGTCCCACATTAGTTTAGGTAGTAGATTTGCACCACTATATATACAAGACCCTTTTAAAAGGAATTTGAATTGTATAGTATAGAGGCTTTCTCTCCTATGCAGGGTGCAAATCAAATTCTA